TACATGGAATCTGATTGGTTTAGTCACCGCCCTCTTTGCTGGTTCCTCGTCAGATTCAACATTGGAGGTGTCAACCCCCCGTTTGGCTCGTTGCTCTGCCACAGAGAAATTGTCTGTACGTGCAATAAACATAGTCATAAATACTTTCCTATTACAGTGGAGGAAAAAAGTATTTAGTCAGCCACCAATTGTGCAAGTTCTCCCACTTAAAAAGATGAGAGAGGCCTGTAATTTTCATCATAGGTACACGTCAACTATGACAAACAAAATGAGGAAAAAAAATACAGAAAATCACATTGTAGGATTTTTTATGAATTTATTTGCAAATTATGGTGGAAAATAAGTATTTGGTCAATAACAAAAGTTTCTCAATACTTTGTTATATACCTTTTGTTGGCAATGACACAGGTCAAATGTTTTCTGTAAGTCTTCACAAGGTTTTCACACACTGTTGCTGGTATTTTGGCCCATTCCTCCATGCAGATCTCCTCTAGAGCAGTGATGTTTTGGGGCTGTCGCTGGGCAACACGGACTTTCAACTCCCTCCAAAGATGTTCTATGGGGTTGAGATCTGGAGACTGGCTAGGCCACTCCAGGACCTTGAAATGCTTCTTACGAAGCCACTCCTTCGTTGCCCGGGCGGTGTGTTTGGGATCATTGTCATGCTGAAAGACCCAGCCACGTTTCATCTTCAATGCCCTTGCTGATGGAAGGAGGTTTTCACTCAAAATATCACGATACATGGCCCCATTCATTCTTTCCTTTACACGGATCAGTCGTCCTGGTCCATTTGCAGACAAACAGCCCTAAAGCATGATGTTTCCACCCCCATGCTTCACAGTAGGTATGGTGTTCTTTGGATGCAACTCAGCATCTTTGTCCTCATAACACGACGAGTTGAGTTTTTACCAAAAAGTTATATTTTGGTTTCATCTGACCATATGACATTCTCCCAATCCTCTTCTGGATCATCCAAATGCACTCTAGCAAACTTCAGACGGGCCTGGACATGTACTGGCTTAAGCAGGGGGACACGTCTGGCACTGCAGGATTTGAGTCCCTGGCGGCGTAGTGTGTTACTGATGGTAGGCTTTGTTACTTTGGTCCCAGCTCTCTGCAGGTCATTCACTAGGTCCCCCCGTGTGGTTCTGGGATTTTTGCTCACCGTTCTTGTGATCATTTTGACCCCACGGGGTGAGATCTTGCGTGGAGCCCCAGATCGAGGGAGATTATCAGTGGTCTTGTATGTCTTCCATTTCCTAATAATTGCTCCCACAGTTTATTTCTTCAAACCAAGCTGCTTACCTATTGCAGATTCAGTCTTCCCAGCCTGGTGCAGGTCTACAATTTTGTTTCTGGTGTCCTTTGACAGCTCTTTGGTCTTGGCCATAGTGGAGTTTGGAGTGTGACTGTTTGAGGGTGTGGACAGGTGTCTTTTATACTGATAACAAGTTCAAACAGGTGCCATTAATACAGGTAACGAGTGGAGGACAGAGGAGCCTCTTAAAGAAGAAGTTACAGGTCTGTGAGAGCCAGAAATCTTGCTTGTTTGTAGGTGACCAAATACTTATTTTCCACCATAATTTGCAAATAAATTCATTAAAAATCCTACAATGTGATTTTCTGGAAAAAAAAATCTCAATTTCTCTGTCATAGTTGACGTACCTATGATGAAAATTACAGGCCTCATCTTTTTAAGTGGGAGAACTTGCACAATTGGTGGCTGACTAAATACCTTTTTCCCACACTGTAACACTGGCAAAACAGGGTATTGAGTATTTGTAACTCACATAGTAATACTTTCAGCAAATACATATAGTACTTAAGAGGGGGAAGTTACTGACTCTACTGACCAGGAGTGGGTTGCACCAGTTAGACGCTAATAAGGTGTAAGAGATAAGTTGGGCCTACCTACACCCGACATAATGATTTAGAAAATTGAACAAGATGCGACATGACTAGTCATGAAACACTTACCTTGGAAACTAGTTATAGAGTTATACTATACGTCTACCCCACATTACACTTAGTTTTTACACCCTGGCGTAGCAAAAGCTATTACTTACAACCAGGTGGTGACACAGGTTTACACCTGGCTTAGAACATATTCTACGTTAGAACTAGCCTTACGTATAGGAGTATGTTCAACTGATGCAACCTGCTCCAGAGCCACACAAACAAGCATACATTGCAATATAAACGGTAGTGGATGGATACAGTAAAATATTATTTTACCAGTGGATGAAAAGATGGAAATTCTGTACTTCTCACATAATAATTTGTCAGGCCGGTCTCCTCTCTTAATCATTGTTGCGCTGGCATTTCTTGGCCAGTAGCAACACAGGACCTGCAAGATATGAGACTCTGTTTAAAGTTAACTATTTATCCATCTCTTTGCCTGAAAGGGGTAAACCATTTAACTGATCAACTCACCCCATCTCTCTTCTCCACCCACTGCTCTGGTACAACTTCAACAGTGTTCTCTTTTACAAAATGTACAACATAATAACGCTGTGTGCCCTGTGCAGAAAAACAAAACACCAATTCCACACTGTTCAGTCTCTTGATTTACCAGCCAAGATAGTTTGCAAAACTAATACAGCTTGTGAACTTGGCTGTAGCCAACACGAGTGCCATGGTCCTCCTCAAGAATAATAGCTTGCTTAGCAAGACTGCTCTTTGCAATGAGATGCATTTGTGTGCTCCTTGTAGTCGTGCGTAAAGTCCAATACAGTCTTGAGTCACAAGGACTCAGCGTGTAAGATTCCAGATGCTGAAACACCCTGCAGAGGTCAATGTTGTTCTTCATCAGGACCTAAGAACACGATTACTGAACCCTGTAACACAGGCTGTGGTTACACGCGGCACTATCCAAATAACGTAGCTGGGCTAAACTATCTATTAGCCAACTGGTTAATTAGCTAACTTGCAAGCTTCCTCGCTAGTTAGATAGCCTGACATCATCAAAATGTCTTTATATGGGGAGCTGGGAGTACACTAACGTACTTGGTTTAAATAGCACACGCTGGATAACTTACCTTTCGTAAAAACTTCCAAGAGGTGAACTGTGTTCGGGCAGTCGGAGTCGATGGTGTCTTCGCTGTTCAGCTGTGTTGTTTCACTTTTACCAATTAGTACCGTAGGTGTTTCTTTCTGGCTCCAGCCTCAGTATTGTTAGTTGCAGTATTTATAGTTGCAGTATTTTATATTTGCAATGACGGATAATGGAGTCAAAGGGAATATTCAGGATCAACCGTCGTCAGGCCACCACTACTGCTGATTTTTTAAAATGCAAATAGTTTGGGTAGCCATGATTAGCTGTTCAGGAGTCTTATGGCTTGGGGGTAGAAGCTGTTGAGAAGTCTTTTGGACCTAGACTTGGCACTCCGGTACCACTTGCCGTGCGGTAGTAGAGAGAACAGTCTATGACTAGGGTGGCTGGAGTCTTTGACAATTTTGAGGGCCTTCCTCTGACACATTCATAAATGAATATAATACAAAAATACTATTTTTAGGTATCGTTCCCTCTTCCATAGGCCTATACTGAGGTCAAAATTACATTATGAATTTCCATACATTTATTAAATCGGTAGAATTATGGAAAAATAAATTGAGGAGGGGAAGAGCTGGATCCACTTCCTTTACTCCAAGCACAAGTATGCTGGCCAGTGTTGCCAACTCCTCAGTAAGGAAAGTAGCTATTGGGTGTCCTAAAAGTTGCTAGATGTCGCTAAATGACGTCATCACCTCATTTGCATAATTGCCCATGTTCATGTAATTGTGATGGAGGCTGTAGGAGAGAGGAATAACGTTGTGGGAGAGACAAAAAGTGAGTAAAAAACACCCTACATTTACATCCCGCCCTGAATGTAAGCCAGTCTGGACGCGGAGGGGTGAACATCTCCTGCTCTGACTGCAGCTGGGAGGGACTGCTGCGCGAGGACTGGGCCGCCTGTGAGTGCTTTGGGACAGGGGTAACAAAGCACCCGCTGCTCGTTGAGAAGAGTAAGAACGATACGTGCTTTCACGTCAGAGTCTCCAAAAGTCTCCAATAACACCAGAAAAAGTCGCTAGATTTGTCGCTAGTCGCTTTTTAAAAAATGTGTCGCTAGAGGGGTCTGAAAACTCGCTAAATATAGCGACAAAGTTGCTAAGTTGGCAACACTGATGCTGGCCCCAATATCTTGTGATCTAAAGTACTTATTTAGAAGGTAACAAATGTTCCTACACACTTAGAAAGACAATGTTACAAGTGTACCGCCACTTGACTTACAGACGACGTTCCAAAATGTATTTCTATCATTCTGATTGTAACGTTATATGAAGACAAACCATAGCTCTAAATGTAACGTTATGAAATATTCCTAGGATATCTCCAAAATAACATGATATTCAGAACCTTTCATGGACTACCAAGGAACGTTTTTAATGTTCCCATGATGTCTGTATAGCGAAGGGATATTTATAACCTCTATAATACTTATTAGAAACGTTATGAATGTGCCTATAATGTCCCAAACGGGCTATGACATTCAGTACCTCTGGAAGACTTAAGGGGAATGTTACAAATGTCTCAGTTAAGTTCCTTGTTAGCTGGGCTACAGTAGCCTACAATGGCATATAAATTAATAGCCTACTTGATGGCCAACCGATGCAAATGTAGCCTATCATTTTCCACATTTAATGTAATTTTCATTGTGGACGTTTTCCCATAACAGAAGCATGCTAGGGAGTTCCATAACTTCCATTTCCAATTTCCACACTTGCAGCACTCCAGATCCTAGAACTGCGCATGAGTAAAACCCTTTACTTTAAATCACCTCTGAGCGAATTTATCTAAAGAGTTTTAAAAAATGCGGACATAGCAACCGTGCTTTTGTCACAATATTGCAAGTGCAGAGAGGAAATTATGTCTCAGTTTTGTGGTTGTGGTGCAGAATGTGAAAGAAATCCCATGCTTCTGCTTTCTCTGTTGAGTATATGACTTCGATTGGGGCTCAATGGAGCTGGCTGAAAGGTACAGCATTCCAATGAATGACTATGAGGATGCCACAGGGTTACAGACCCGAGGTGCAAGGACACCTAGAACAGAGGACATCTACCAGTCTCTTCAGTCTCCAAACATAACATATAGACAGAGAGAGGCCAGTGAGTATTTGGTTCATATTTTCTAGTACACTCAAATAAATCGGTCAGTTGTGACTTTAAATTAATAAATATGTAGGCCTGCATGACTGATAATCAAGTATGATTGAGAAGACCGTATTAATCTAATTTAGTAACTTGTGCATTTCAGGGCCACATGACAGGATACAATGGAAAACATTTGTGTCCCCTCTGCTCCTCTTCAATGCACTTTTACTGATGATCATTCTGGTAATTGTTGGAGTTCACTGTAAGTAATTTAATCAACAATGCACTACTGAATATTTGATTGTTGTGATGATTATTATGTGAGGTTCTAAAAATGAAGAATAGCTGGGGTTTGAGTGTAAAAGACAGCTCTGTCTGTCACCAACCACTGTTCCTAACCAAGTGTTCTACTCTTGTAGTTCATACTCTAAAACCTAAATACTATTAGTTGGTTCAACCAGTGCAAGACGCAAACCTGTTCAACCTATTAGACATCTCAGGATTAAATATATTTTTAAAAGAGCAGCTTTCTTATTATTTTTTGCCAGATTCCCATTTCACCGGGGCAATATCATCTGAAAATGGAGGTGGGTGACTTCATATGGCTACTGTACTGTATAAGTTATATAAATCACACAAATTACCTCTATTTAGTAGATAAAGATTAAACACAACCTGTGGAATGTCTTGCTGTAGTTTGTTTAGTTGTTTAATTAGAAAGTACTGTGTTCTATTTCATTACCGGAAAATCCCAACTTCCAAGTCAAATTTCCACTTCGTCTCTCATTGACATCAATGCATGACTAATGCATGATGTAACACATTTGACTTCACTGGAAGTTATGATTCACCACTAACATTATAGATTCAGCACATTTGATGTGGTCACACTTTCACGCATGGAGGAACCAATACTAGTATGTTACATTCAGATTTCAGACAGAATGAAGAAATGTGGCATCTCTATCACAATGGGTTCTATCTATTCTGGCAAAGTGTGGGGGATTGCCTAACTGCTGATAGCTTCTGTCAGCAGAGAAACGCCACTCTGACCACATTACAGCCACATAACAGGGTATGTCAGCTTGTATACTCTGTCTGTGAAATATTATACACTTGCAGTGTCTATATAGAATATAATTAACTTTCAGTGTCAGGTCATACATTTTCAGTTCAAAAATATTTATTCTGAGCTAAAGGTGTAAAATGCATAAAGATTAAAAGCATGAGTTTGAATACATAGGTTTGGTTGTTGGCCAGGGCCAGAGGACAGCAGCTTTGGGTCCTTGAGCTGAGGGATATGACCGAGTTGTCTGCAGATGGTGCCACAGAGGTTCAGAATAATACAATCTTTCATAATCCTTTTTATATTATGTACAGTACTTCATTAAGAAAATGTTTTGTGATAAGTTCCTTTTTAACCTTTGTTTGATCTTCCTCAGGAGGATGGTGAATATGGTGATGATTGTGCCCTCCTGACTGGTGACCCCACCCAGGCCTCAATGAGCCCGGGCCACAGGAAGAGCAAGGGGTGGGTGTGTGAGAGGAAGGCCTCTCCACCACATGTATCTGGAAATCAATAAGATCCAACCTATTCCATTCAGGGAGGATATCAACTTTTCCTTGAATTTTTTTCACTTTTTAGTCACGATGTTAATTGTTTTTTTTAATTCCCTGAACAATGTCCTCGTTTTAATGACCAAAATGTATTGCTTAATTTGGGGAGTTACATTGTTTGATTCTATCCTGCATTGCAGGGCAATTGCTTGTGTCAGTGTACACAAGAGGGCGCTATGTAATTGTAAAGATTCAGTAAAGTCTGCAAAGAAAGAGCCAAAAATGTTGTTCACAGGAGAACATTACTGAAACATGCACACGTTTTCTTTACATGCAGAAGGAGTCACTGACCTGTAGATCAAACCATAAGCTTGCTAGGCCTCTCATCACCATTCAAAGGATGGCTGAAGCACTACAAAATGTAGCTGAAACATCTGTTTACATCTGTTAGGTTAATTTGTATTTTAAGAATAATGACTAAAGGATTTCACCCCAAATACAGTATAAATGTGTAAACTGTGTTACAATTATCAACCCACTAATGGGGGGGGGGGGACTAAACATTCCAGGGTGAAGGAGAAAGGTGAAAACTGTTTAAGAAAGCCTCCTAAAGGTGGGCGGAGCAAAGTGCCTTTGTGTGTCAAGAGGTATAAAACAGGAGTGTATGGGTTTTGGCGCCAGAGCTCTCCATGAATAAAAAGACAGATCATTCTTGTTGGTTGTGGACCTTGAATCATTTATGATTAAAACCAGAGCCTTACAACCTCTGGTAATGATACAAGCTGAATTAGAGATAGAAATTCACTAACAGAGTGGTCCTTTGAGCAGAGCTTAAATACGTCTTTGTCGTTCTAAGAACACCGAAACCGTGCACGGGCGGATGATTGCATCCGTGGAGAATAGTCCTGGCCTTCGACGTTAAGGTTATAAACAGGCCGGTGATTACTCTTATGAACGATAAAGACGTTAACGAGTTTGAAAAAGCATTTAAATCCAAACTGCAAGGAAAAGGTCAGTAATTTTTATTCATGGATTTTGGTGAAATGATTTGAACTTGTATAAGAATAGTAATTCTTGTGGAGGGCAGAGAATAGTTACCAAAATCTCAACGGAAGTAATAATTATTACTAAATGGGGAGGGTCCGTAATTGACCCTAGGTAAATAGCTATTACCAAAATAATCTAGTCCGAAATGACACGGGGTGAATGGCCATCACCAATGTAAACTAGTTTTTATTGAGATTGTACTGGGTACAGTGTTACGATAAACAGGGAGGGGGATAATTTTTCGTCGTGTGCTATGGATACATTAAACAGGTCAAAAGTCGCGTAAACAACTGGGGATTTGCTATAACTCTGTCTGTTTCATGAAACTGGAGCAGTTACGACCTCTAGGTTACAAATAGGTTTGGCAAATGATTGTATAATGTTGTGTACGTGTGAGACTTGAGAATCCGTCGGAATACGTGATAATTGTTTCAAGGAAGGAGCTAAAAATAAGTTGCGTGAGAAAAAATGGTTATCGACCCCTTTCATGAAACTGGAGAATGGAAAAAACTCTGGGTTACGGGTGGATAATTTTAAATGGTTAATTACAAAAGCAGATCATACATTGGCTCAAGAGACGCACTAAATAATAGCTCCTAGGAGAATAATTCTGGATTGAATTATTACTAAACGGGGGGATTTCTTATTTTTCCACCATGGGAAATAAATCTTCTAAAGAGGTCCGAGAATTAACGGGGGATGAAAGATATATGTTAGGAAGAGATCGAAGAAATATGTTTTATGGATCCATTTGGAAGAAGAGGTATGGATTTATTGGGCATCTAGATTAAAAGTTAGAAGTTATGATTAAGCAGATGCATGTAAACTGTGGAACGGATTTGAAAAAACAGCGAGGGGAGGGGCTAGAGACAGCGAGGGTCTTTTTTAAGTGCGAAAGTGCTTTAACGGTAACAAAGGAATATTTAACCATCGTGACTGAAGGGGTAAAGGAAAGGGCAGTGTCGGAGATAGGACAGTCTATTTTTTTTGGTTCAACGGGTAAAAGGTTTGAAAAAATGATACGTGTCGATTAAGAATTGGCTAAAAACACCACGAAGCGATTATTTGAGAGGTACCTATAAAATTCCAACGATGCATATGTATGAACTTTCTCACTCAAACGTAGACGTACGTCATGAGTGAGAAAGTAGAGAATATTTACATTTGCATTTTTGGTCATTTGGCAGACGCTCTGGTCCGGAGCGACTTGCAGGAGCAGTGGGGGTTGGGTGCCTTGCTTGGGGGCACATCGGCAGATTTTTCGCCTGGTCGGCTCGGGAGTTGGAGCAGGCGACCTCGGTTACTGAGACGGTGCTCTTGGTTACTGGGCTACCAGCCGGCGGGGATGAGTTTAAGGTTGTGCCGTTGTTTGATTAGGTGATAAGGTTATGTGATAAGGTTTAATGGGTAATCGGACCATAACTAAAGTGGTTATAGAAGTAATGTATAAATAGTAGAGAGCCAATAGAGGGTTCCATTGAACTATTATGTTGTGTTGGGCATTTGAATGGCATAAGGTGAAATCTGTGTGTATGAGGGAATTCAACGGCGGGTATGAATGATAACCGGATACTACTTAGTATTTGGTTGGTTAAATGCTGAATAAAAGATTTGAGGCGTGGTTGGGGGGTAACTAGGAAGACACTCTTATTCAATGGGGAATGGGTGTAGGGAGAGAGAGTTTTTACGTGTATTAAAAGTTGCATTAGAAAGCTTTAGTAGTATTCTAGATAGGTCTATGAAAATATGTTACAAGTACGAATGAAATTATTTCCTAAGAAGGAAGATTTGTAGGGAAATTCCCACGCCTCCCCCATAATGTAGGAAGGAGCAGGAGAGGGGGGGAGAGGTGAGAGACAGTACATAGTTCAGATGGTAGGAATGTCATTAAGTGTATGCTTATCAACGATATCAAGTATTTGTTTTATTGATTGGGGCCGAATCAGAGAGAACGGTTAATGAGATTGAATAGCGAACTGAAATGGGTTAGCGGGAAAATACAAATAGTTGGTACATTTTAGAACAATAATTTATTTTCGTTACGGGGAAGCAAGTGGCATTGGCTGTTGTGCTGGGGGAATAGCGCCAGCCTGTGGTGGGTTCTGGAGTTGTTATAAAGAAACTTATATTTTAAACTAAAGTGATGGAATAGGCTACAATTATAACATCAGAAAAAGGGCACAATATAATTTGTAATAGTTATTACAATTATTATTGATAGTTATTACAGTTATTATCATTGATTCAGGAATGATAGAAGGAAAGTAGAGGAAAGGCAAGGGATTAAATCTCATTTAGGGAAATAAGAAGAGTATGAAATATTAGGGAGAAAATACCATTAACTGAGGGAACATTTGATGTAACCGTGATTGTATTGGCTAAAAACTGAAATATGACATTTACAAGGGGGACAGGAACAATAGAAGGGGAGACAGATTTTCCTAGGGGGTTGAACAAATAATTGATAATGGATCATTTGAAATGAGATCACATGTAGCAGATTTAGGGTAATCAATTAAATAATCATTGGATACTCGAGGAATTTTGAGTGGTTTTATGGATTAGTTATGAGGAATTAGATTGATACAAACATTATTGATGGGTTAGGACTGGGGATATCTGTATCATGTTTTGTGTGTACTACCATCTTTAGATTACTGATGGTAATTGAAGGTTAACAAAATGTATAACCAGGAGAAAGAGATTAGCTTATCTCATTGGAATGTTGCTAAGGGGGAGCAGTAGTGAAGTTAGGCAGTATTTAGGACATAGAAGGGAGCTACCAAATTAAGTTGAGCCTGGCTATCTTTGATTGTTGTTTTTCAATTGGGTTTTTCAAATAAAAAAACAACACACCCAGCATGATGTTTATAAAGGGTTGTTATGTTGAATTTAGGGGATTTTCAACAGTTCATAGGTGGTATTTACTATGCTGTGGGATGGAACGGTTTGTTGGGGGATATTTGAACCTAAATTAATGCAATAAGCTGCAGTAATCAGAGGAATGTACAATCTAAGGCGAGACAGCTATTGCCTAGATCATTGATTTAGCAATAGGATCAGGTAGATAGGGACTAGAAAGAAAAAAAAAATAGATGAAGAATGATGAGCTTTTTGGTGATGATGGACTGCTGTAAAGCTTGGGTACTCCATTATGTACTGCATACTGGTAAATTAAGTGATCTTATCTATGGGAAGGCAATGGCAGCCCATGGTAACATAATTTGGAACTCTAAGAAGGAAGAACAGTTTATGTTGTTGCTCTCTTCCCAAACAGTCTTAGCTTTTTATACATATATCAGGGATGTTACCCAAATGGTAGAGAGTAAAGAGGGATATGACATTGGTCGTGATTTAAAGATGATGAGTTTTTTTTTTGGTGGGCTATTAGAGATAACTGGGTTAATCACGAACATAGAGGTTTTTATTCTTTGTTGCTAGGCAGAAGACTTAGGTGACCTAAATATGGACTTGTCATGTCCAACAATCAGTCTTCAGGTCAAGCCCGGGAGAGCCGGGGTAGAACAGAGTTTGAACTAAACATAAGTGTTTTTACAAGATAAGAGATTGATTGATTGGATTACTAATTGATTCTGAACTGAATGAAAGTCGAATTTAGCCGCCATAAAGACAAAGGAAGTGGGAGGAGCAATAAAGAAGCAAAAGACAATCTCAAAAATGAAAGGCATGGCAATTGGTTGATAAATTACCTAAGGGAATGTTTAGGTAGGTGGTAATATTGACACATGAGCAGAACTATGTGTCAAGAGGGGGAAGAGGCTAATTGTAGGATTAAATAATATACGAAGGAGAGGACAAAATACTTTTAAAAAAAAACATTTTTTTAGATACAGTCTAGAAAGAGAATGCAGTCAGAAATTGTTAGATTAATCTGAACATGTGTGAAGATAGTTTATTAACCACACCCGTATGTCAGAGGTTTTGTGCCCCACAGGTGAACTAAAGGAGAAGGTGACCCACTCTATCTAACCAGGTGACTGGTGAGAATCCAGTACCTAAAAGAAGGGAAACTGGAAGCAGGCCTGTTGGGAAGGGCCCTATCAGGTTATA